CTAGCCCCCCCCAGGCCCCGTGCCCATTCCCTGTCCTGCTCTGGTGCTTGGAGACGCAGCTTTACCTCGTGCAGACTCTCCAGCACAGCCAGTGCTGTGAACTGGGAAGCACTGGCTGCACGTGCTGCTTGGTTTTGATGTTGCCTGTCCTAGAAGCTTCAGGACCTCAGCACGTGCCTCCAGCAGCATCAGTTCTAAAGCCCATAATGGATTTTTTGTTGTTGTTGTTGAATTCAGCAAACTTTGTAGTAGTTTGAAAGGTAGGGAGAAAGATCTGGACCCTAATGAACGGGGTCGGGCAGTGAGTTGGTCACCTGCCCTCCAGTGTGCAGCATGGGACGGCTGGACAAGGCCATGTGTGGTGCGATGGGAGACGTGGCATGGCTCACCCCCAGCCTCCAGGTCCCAGGAGGAGCCTTACCCGTCACTCATTGCAACGTTTCTCTCACTGTGTGCTACCCAACCTGCTCAGGACACCCAGATGACACTGGGGAACAGACCTTCTGCCACATCTGCCTGGTTGTCCCTGCGCCCGTGGTGCTCCTCGGCTCTCAAAGACCTGCACCTCACTGCAGGTAGCTTGGAGCAGGGCACAGACTGCAGTGGGAGGAATGCAGGTCCTGCAGATGGAGGGATCCAGAATCCTCCTTCCCCAAATCCCTGTATCTATGCACAGCTTGGGCACGGCTGCACCAGCCACGTCCCACACAGCTGCTTCAGGACTTCGATGTCTCCCTGGCAGGCTCATCCAGCACATGAAAATAAATATGTAGACTGGTTTGCTGTTTGCAAACTGGATCTGCTTTTTTGTGAATGGATTCATTCACCATCTGCCTGAAAGAGCCATTTTAGCCAATGGTCTGCCTGCGAGCGCGTCCTCCCCACCAGCTGTGATTTGCTCTTCCTCGCTCTGCCTCTCGGATTGGGCTCCTGGGTGCCACGTGATGGGCTCCCTTCTCCTTGACGGCACATCTGACATTTTTAAGCAGAATAGCAAGCAGCTAATACCGAGGAGCAGCCATGCCTCCTGGGTGGCACTGCTGTTAGCGTTTGCTTTCAGTCATCAAAGGGAAGGGAGGCTCATGGGCACTTTTTCAAAGGAACTGGTGCCTTTGGCGTGGCTGAGGGTGAAGCCCCAGAGAGTTCCTTTGCTGGTGGAGGGGTCTGTGCACAGCTCTGCCTAGGAGCAACCGGGCACGTGGTTGGGTTTGCTGCACGTGGAGACTCAGGGAGTGACGGTGCACTGCAGAGCAGAGAGGAGGAGCACAGCCTGCGATGGGTCTTGAGCAGGAACCCATAACCTCAAACCTGACAGCCCAGGGGAGATGGTGGGACGAGAGCCCACCACTGCTGCTCCCATGGAGTGTGGATATATCAGTGCTGGCTGCTGCCTGCTGCTGTGGGAATTGAGAAAAGTCCCTGTTTAGCCTCAGCTTGAAAGTTCAAGGGAGGGCAATTATTGCCTGCAGATTGCTTGCCTGCTCTTCTAGGGATGATGAATGATAGGCTTAGGTCATCACCTAGCCTGAGCCGGGTGTCTCAGGCTCTGGCATTAGATGCAAGCTCTGGCCCTCTGAATTAAGGCCAGCCCGGCAGAGCCGGAGTGCCAGCAGAGGTGGTGTTTCTAGAGAACAGCCATAGGCAGGGCAAGGTCTGCCCAGAGCTGAGCTAAACGGGGTGAGCTGGCACAGGTAAGCGAGCCTTGGGAAATGGAGAGAAAAGAGTTAACCCGCTCTGGTGCCAAAGCCAGATAGGATATGAAAAGCAGAGAAAAGTCCTCCGGGCCACTGACTCAAACGTCAGAAGACATCCTGAGCTTGTACTGTCTTTCCACCTGGCAAACCAGTGCCTGCAGCTGGGATCATCTAGACCGGGACTTCAAGCCGCAAAAAGGCCAGCATCCGGGTGACTCTGTCACTACAAAGCAGTGATAGCAGCCTCAGCAGACCCAAAGGGCTCAATGCTCCAAGCTGGCTCTGGTAGGAACTGCAAGGAGGAAACATCCAGAGTGATGGAACCGCAGGAACTGCGTAACACAGCACACGGGGTCGGAGCAGATGAGCACTGTGGTGCCAGTGCCGGCTGTGCAGGGAAAAGGCACCTTTGATTCCCTGCTGTGACAAAGGGCAGCTGCAGGGTCCTCCACCGTGTGTCCTGCCCTGCCTTGCCCAAAGGAGGATGGGGTTCAGCCTCTGAGTCTCCCAAACGCTGCGCTGTGGTCACTGGCACTGGAAACTCACTTTGAAATCACAGTCTGTGACGGTGAGCACAGAGATGGGGAGCAGTGCAGGCTTGGCCATTCCAGAGGTGGGAATTCTGCCTGGAGGAGGGAAGGGCATGGACTGCAAAGCTCCACAGGGCGAGGGCAGCATCAACCCGTGAGACACTGTGCAGCCGGAGGTGCCATCCGGACACCCTGTGTGTGCATGCCTGCACGTGTGTGGCCACAGCCACCTCTTGCCAACACAATGACAAGCGTGACCCAGCCTACAGGATGCCCCCACCCCTGCAGCTCCGGGCTCCTTTCCCTCCGGGTCACCACCCCATAGCTGGGGGCAGGGGGACTGGAAAAACCACGTGTGCAGAGCCAGCACCCACCGCACCGCCGGTCTCACGGAGGCCTGTCGTGCCCCCTCTCCCCTCCAGCCCGTCCCTTAATCACAAGCAGCTTGATGAGACAATGAAGCGACCGCACCAAAGAGCCGGGCTCGTTCCCCTTTGTCTTTCTCTCCTTTGAGGACGGGTGAGCCATCGTGCCCGCAGCCCGGCTGTCGCACGTCCGACTCATCGCGTCTCCGGGCAGCAAAGGACAGCGCATCCCCCGGCTGCCCGCCCCCCCCAGCCCCTGCCCATGCCCCGCAGGAGCCACGGGGCACTTCGGTGCCCGGCGCACTCCCTTCTGCCCTCCGCCGTCGCATCGCTTCGAGCGGGACCAGCAGGCGCTCCCCTGAGACGCAGGCAGCCCCCTCCTCCCACAGCACATGGCACAGAGGCTTTCAGGCTGGTTTTCTCCAGCGTTCACACAAATCTCTCCTTCCCCGCTCCCGCCCCCCTTCCCCACACAACTGAACTCAGCCATTGAGTCCAGCGAATGGTTTATTTCCCAGGTTAGCACAAAGCCGGGGTCTCTGTGTGCCCCTGGAACCAGCAGAACAAAACGCACAAAGACGTTAGAGGGCCATTTGTAACCAAATCTCAACACACCAGATACTGTTGGGATTATGTCAGAAATATTTTCCCAGAATGCCCTCCCCCCATGCTCCCTCCTACAGATGTTCGGTCCCCACACCACAGATGTTGTTCCTCTTGCAAAATGAGCTTTCCCCTTCCTCTCCCAAATGCCCCTGATGTTTTGCACATTGCCGTCGCGAGGTCTCCTTTCCACTCTGCCCTCCACGTCCCCTCATCCCCGCTGCCTCGCTGGCAGCCCCGTGGGAAGGTTGGCCTGCTCCATGGGGATGGCCACACGCTGCACACGTTCCATAGGGATGGATGGCCACGCGCTCCATGGGGCGGGACGTCAGCTGCAGGGCAGCCGTGCGCCTCTCGCCTCTGCCCATCAGAAGAGCCCTCTCCCTCTCCCCATTCTGACCTCTCACCTTCTGAGCGTGACCTCTCAGGTCTTGCCAGCTCTGGGTGGGCTCACCAGACCCCAGTCCCCTTGGAGGGACCCCAGCTAGCATCCCGCTGCCTCCCCACGGGCTTCACGCACAGGGCGCTCGGCGGTGGTTTGTTCCTCAGGGACGCCAGGCAGATCGCACACACGGAAAGAATGGCACAGACCTTCTCCTGGCCACCAGCAGCCCCCACAGAGCACGCAAGGAGACAGCTGGCCGTGCATCAGGGCCCCCCCGTGGCCGCAGTGCCTGGGCTCCTCCCTGCTGGCCTCCAGCAGCTCGGGCAGAGCGGTGCCAGCGCCCAGCTGGAGCGGGTGCTGCTTCAGAGCCCGGCGCCGATGGGGAGATGTGGGCCTGACGGCTGCTCCGCGGCAGGCACGGGGCTGCCATGCATCCTTCCCCGCTGCAGCCGGGTCTGTCGCGAGGCTCGGGGCCGTGCAGCTGGGTGAGATGTGCCGGGATCCTCAACCAGAGCCGGATCCACCAAGCACAGTGCATGAAGGAGCCCGGGATGGCGAAGCGAAGCGGGAACCTCCCGATGACTTCGGACGGCGCCTCCTGCCCCACGTACCGCATTCCTGCCCCTCTGTGAGCGCAGCTCTCCTCCTGCAGCGGGTTCCCACAGCTCCCCATGCAGCTCCGTGGGCTCTGCTCAGCCCCCGCTCCCTGTGTGACCCCGCGGGGCTCCGGGCGCCGTTCTTCAAAGATAGAGTTTATTGCTAAAAACGTTTCCATCACTGATAGCTCCTATTTACATTGATATGTGTTTTGTTTTGTTCTGTTTTTTTAAAGGAATATTCAAGTAAACATTTCCAATAGTTTCTGGCATAATCTCTAGCTCTTTTTTTTTTTTTTCTTTTTTTTTTTCCTATACACAAACGTTAAAAATAAATAAACTGTACACAGAAGATTTCCTTTAGCATCTCTACGTGACTATACATATTCCCACACAACAAAACGATTCCACTCTTCCATAGATTTGTACTTCTCTTTAAAACTTCCTCCTTAAGTCATTGTTATACACTTAACGCCCCCCACCCCCCTCCCCTCCCAGAGCCGGAACACCAATGACAACGTCTGAAGAAGACAAAAAAAAAAAAAGGAAAATACAGCACAGAGGAACGGCCACCTTCAGGGATGCTGCTGCTCTTCCCCGGGGTTTCCTTTCCCGTTGTTAAAACCATCTCGACAAGAAAGAAATCTGTGCCCCCCCCCCCCCCCCCCCCCGGGGGGGGGGCGCGGGGGTTGGGGGGGGAAGGGTTTAAAATGTGGTCCTACGTTTTTAAAATAATAATAATAAAAATAATTATAATTATAATTAAAAAAAAAAAAAAAAAAAAAAAAAAAAACAGCTGCGATTTCCCCCTTTCCTTTAAAATCTCTCTATTTACACGGCTGGGATTTTTTTTTTTAGGTTTTTTTTTTTCTTTATTATTATTATTTTCCTTTCGTTAGAAGGCTATATACGTATAAAAATAGACATCTGATTGTAGTGCTTTACTGTGCCTTTGGCCTGCCCTGCAGTTCCTGGGTTCGCTTCTCCCCCTTTCAAATAAAATAACATTAAAATAAGTCAGACCCGGTTCCTCCCCCCGACCCCCCCATCACGCCCCGCGCTCGCCCCGAGGGGGAGGGCGGACGAACCCCCCCTCGGAAGATGCAGACGAGCAAAGAGAGCAGCGCGAGGGCCGGGGCGGCGCGGGGCCGTGCTAGCAGGAGCACTTGCACTCGGAGATGAGCGGGTACTGCACGGGGATCCAGGTGCAGTACTTCTGGCTGGACCAGCCCTGGCAGTGCCAGCGCAGGAACGTCTTGGTGACCGACTTGACGGGCTTGCAGAACATGCCCTCGGGCAGCGAGCAGGACTTCTCGGCGAAGCAGTTGCCCTCCTTGATGTAGCGCGGCCAGAAGCGGACGCCCAGGTCCTTCCAGGTGTAGAGCACGGGGCAGTAGGTGTACGCCCAGAGCCACTGCAGCACCTTCCGCCTCGCCTTCTTGCCCACCCGCAGCCGCGGCCCGCCCCGCTCCAAGCGCCGCAACTCCGCCGCCCGCGCCCGCCCCGCCGCCGCCTCGGCGCCCGCGGAAGCGTTGGCGGGGCCCGGCACGGCCACGGCCATGAAGCTGGGGTCGAAATGGCTGCCCAGCTTCTTGCGCAGAGTCCGCTCGTCCAGGTCCTGCTCCTTCGGGTCGTACTCGGGGTCCGGGTGCTCCACGATGTCTTTCACCGGCAGGTTGTCGCTGGGCGAGGGCCGCAGCCGCAGGAAGGGCTGCCCGGCGCCCGGCCGCAGCAGCCCCAGGCAGGAGCAGAGCAGGAGCGCCCCGATGGCCGTCATGCTCCGGGCGGGCCCGGCCCCCGGCTCGGCGCTGGCGTCCCCGCGGGGCTGGCGCTGCGGCGCGGCTCCTAGCGCTGCCCGGCGGCGCCGGCCAGCTCCCGGGGACTCATAAATAGGCAGAGACAAAGTCCGGCGAGGCCCGTTACTTTAAATAGCTCGGCCGGCGTTGTGTGACAGACGCATCTGAGGCGCTCGGCGGCCGCTGGCTCCCCGGGGCTCCCCGCTGGGCCGGCTCCAGCCGCGGCCCGGAGCGCCGGGGGTCCGTGCCTCCCTCGCGGGCGGCGGCGGCGGGCAGGGCAGGGCACGGCGGCGGCCGAGCCTTCCTCCTCCTCCCGCGCCTCCTCCTCCTCCTCCTCCTCCTCCTCCTCCTCCGCCGCCGCTCTCGCTCGCTCTCGCTCTCCCCCCAAAATTCACAGCGGACTCGTCTCCATCGCCATGGTGACAGCTGGGCTGAGCCCCACGACAGCTCGTCTAGACGGTGTGACAGGGTTTGGCGTGAGACCGGAGCCCGAGAATAAAACCCTCCTTTATAGCCGGGCGAGCCGGCCGAGGGGGCGGGGAGGAGGGTCACGACGGCGCGGCCGGCTCGGGCGGCCCCTGCGCGGGCACCGCCGGGGTGCGGGCTCAGGCGGCGGCGGGCGGCGGCGGCGGCGGCT